TTTCACATAACTCTCTAGAGGTCTTTTCAAAAAGTCTCTTTCACTGGCATCATCTACTAGAACAATTTCTTCTACCCATGTGTCTTGGTGAGCGATTGATGACACTGTGAACAGAGAAGCGTGCCCCGAGCCTCATTGTGGAAAACAATTCACGACACTTGTTGGAAGAGTACTTGGCTACACCTTTGTTTTACACCCTTCTAACTTGACATCTGCTAAACTTCTGTTGAGTGCAATCATCTCACTTGCCATTAAATTGAACTGATTGATTTTAAACATCTCTTTCATTTTTTCTTGGTCCTCTTTAGGAGTGACGACTGTTTCCCCCATTTCTCCAGGGCCTTCATGCGGCTTTTGTACCGGCTCTAGAACATCCCCAGCCGGAAGTCCTCTCTCCGTTCTCTCATCACATTTGTTGCATTCACTGAAGTAAAAGCAGCAGGAACATATCAAGGAGGTGGCCAGGACTACCTTGCAATATGCACATTTTCTCATGGCACTTTAAGCCAAATGCAAAATTTAAAAATACACATATATATAAATATACGAAGATCGTGAAAATTATCCCAATCCAGTTTATCCCAATCACGTTCATACCCTCGCAGCGCGCGCGACGGTGGGCGCAACTCTGGGGCCGCCATCTGCCACGCTGCCTCCTCTGACCCTGCTGGCTGCTCTCCCGGCGGGTGGGCAGGCCCGGAGAGGGCCCAGTCTCGGTTCTGCCGGGCCCTACCTCCAGGCTGGGCCTCCTAGGCTGGACATGCCAGTTCTGGCCACCCAGCCTGCAGCGCCGTTGCCCCTAGCTCTGGGCCCCTCAGCGCGGTGGGCCGGGGCCACGGGCTGGACCGGGTCCTCATGGTGCTCGGTGTTGATGATTTTTTGAGACAGGCTTTCTCTTTGTATTTCAGGCTAGCCTTGAACCTGCGGTGATCCTTCTGCCTCAGCCTCCTGAGTGCATGTGCAACCACACCTGTTGTGAGCCTGAGCCCTGTACTACTCTACACTATCATACTGTACGTAAGCACAGAACATCACAACCGTAACAACGTCTGGCAGACATGTGAGCTACTTCTGCGATTTGTGTGCACGTATGAATGTTCCTAATGTGAGGTGCATTCGTACCTGTGAAAGTTCGCAATTCGAAGCTGTGGGCCAAATTAATAAAGAATAATTACAGCAATGTGTATTCCTGAATGGATGTTAAAACCTTGACTCATGACCCCAGACAGACAGAAAGCCGCCCTTTCTCATCTACAGCCAAGACAAGTTCCACGAAGTGGCACATGCCTTAGTCTCTCTCTCTCCCTCTCTCTCTTTTTCATTGAGTTTATTGGTACATTTCAGGTATACAGTACAGTTACATTCATTATTGGGATCTTGTACCTTTACAGGACAGATCTTGGTTCTCATTTTTTTCCCCCGTACTCCTGCCCTCCCTTCACCTCCTCCTTAGTCTCTTAATGGGAAGTGAAGCAGGAAGATCCTGTTAGGGCCCAGCCTTAACTAGGATTCATTTAGTTTAAATTAAATTGGAGCCTCTGTGCTCGCTTCGGCAGCACATATACTAAATTAAATTGGAGCCTCAACTTAGTGAAACTCAGGCTTAAAAAAAAATGTTGAGGATGTAACTCCTTGAAAAGCGCTGGGTTCAATCTTCAGTGCCCCGCCCCCGCCGAGAAATTTAACTCCAGCGCCTACAGACTTCCCTGGCCGTGGGGCTGGATGAAGCCACAGTTTCTCAGGGCTGCCGGCCTTGATGGGACCAGCTCCTCCTTGCTTGGCCCCTTCCCAATCCTTCCACAGCTTCTCCCCCACAGAAGGCGGAGACCGGGAGACCGGGAGACGCCCCGCCCAGTTGGGAATGTGACTCACATTCCCCGCGACCCGCTGAGGACGAGACCGGGCACAGATGCCCAACCAGATCCCTTTGCTGCGAGCAGAGCAGTCGGCCTGGTGTCCGGAGCGGACCTTTGAAACCTGCTTCTGTCTGAAAAGGGGACACGAACCACTTCACGCCTTCACTGAGGGATCTGCAGATTTAGAAAACGCAGATGTGGTCATGAGGAACCCTTCGAACAGCGCCCTCGAGTTTTTCTGCCCTCACGTAGCCACGCCGGACTCTCAGGAGCTTCTGGGTTGGGAAGACGCGGGGAAACCGGCGGCCCCGCTAAGTCAGACGTATGGCCGAGGAGTCCGCAGCCCGCCTCGTGGTGGTGCTGCTGCTTCTCGCTCGGTGCGC